ATGACAACTACACCCTCAACCACCCCGACTACAATTGCAACCACCACTACTCTGACCACGACTGCACCCACAACAACATCTACACCCACAACCACCCCAACAACAACTACAACCACAACTACAACTACAACTACATCTCCTCCACCCACTCCAGTGATCTTCTCCTGTCTGAACGTGACAACCTCAGAGCAGCAGCAAGCTTACTTTGTTCCTCAAGACAGCACAAAAGTTCAGCAGTGCAAAACTCATCTGAAGGTCTACATTGTTGTTCTGGTGGTAGAGATTATCTGCACATTGGCTCTGGCTAAGTTCACCATTTCACTTTATCACCTACTCCAGCGCAGTGAGAGGTTGTACCACAAAGTGAAACTCACGCACTTCTCCTACAAGAGGGAAGTCATCCTACGGCCTCTGCGAGAGGCAGAGACCCGAGGACTTTGAATTTTCGGAGCTGCTGCTAGAGATCAGAGTTTAATCATCAGAAAGATCACCAGGATGGCAAATAGGCCAGAAGCAATCATACAACTCATCACAACATCCTTAAAGCTGTAATAATTCATCTTAAATGATTTGGGAGCTGTGGACCGATAAGATGAAGAAAGAATAAGAAATAAGAAGGATGCATACACATGCATTAGGTTTTGTATCCTTTGCTCAAATGTAATGTTTCTGGATGTTTTCTCTATTTGCTTAAAAATATATGTAAAAGATATTCGTTTTTTGTTTTTGTATGTCAAATATAATAAAATGTACATAATTTAAAAAAGACGTTTCTGAAACTAGTCATTACTGAGATTTCCTTTAACACATTCTTACAGCAAGGGGGTAGCAGAGATCCATAAGACCTCACTCACATTCACCGAAAACAAAAACAAGAGGTGCTAAGAATAGGACCAGTTCTGCAAATTAGAGACACTGGAACAGGTAGAAAAATGTTATGGCTGGTATCATCTGCATGCACAAAAGCTGTGCTATTGTTTTGGTTCTGTTTAAACAGATACTGCATATTTCCAACAATGTCCAAAACGACTTGTACAGCAAAGCAAGTTTGCTGTATGAAAGTTAAAATAATTTCATAAACAGAGGAGACGTGTTGAGAACTGAGCAGGAGCGTGGAACTAGATTTGTCTGTTT